AAAATAGTGTTTTATAAAAAGCGTTGTGAACGAAATAGTTTACATAAATCAAGGTGAAAAAACAGTATTATAATAAGCGTTGTGCACGAAATAGTTTACATGGATCAAGATGAAAACAAAGTAGAGTATTATAACAAGCGTTGTGCATAAAATGTCCTATATACGTCAAGAAGAAAAAACAGTATTATAACAAGCGTTGTGAACAAAATGTCCTACAAACATCAAGAAGAAAACAAAACAAAGTATTATAACAAGCGTTGTGCACAAAATATTTTACATGAATCAAGGGGAAAACAAAGTAGCGTTGTACATAAAATGTCTCACGCACTCCAATAAATATCCAAACAGAGTATTATAACAAGGCTTAAAATGTCTTACACACATATGTAAAATATTATACAAATACAATTTATTTTTCTGTTATAAGAAATTTAAGAGCTCAAACAACAATATAAGTCACTGGTGGACTGCTAAACAGTGCCCCCCCCCCCCCAGTAGCACAGCGGTATTTCTGCAGACTTACAACGCTAGAATCCCGGTTTTGATACCCGTGATGGCCAGAACACAGATAGTCCACTCTGTAGCTTTGTGTTTAACTTCAAACAAAACGAAAAAAATACGAGACCCGTACTACATTTGCGGTATCTTTATTACAACAGTACTTCTTTAAGTACAGGATTTATAGAATAATATAAAAGGATTCTAATCGTAGACACTGAAATCTACAAGTTCACTTGTCTTAGGCCTAACATTAGTTAAGCCTTTATTAAGTACGGCTTATATTCAATAAAGAGTTAAATTAATACTGTAGCTTGCATTCGTTTTCTCGCATTAGTTAAGTCTAAACTGTACCGTACTTAATACCAGCGGTAAACAAACTTATAATTTTATTCTGTGGCCTAATGTTTGATTTTTTTTCTAAAACAATTATAAGCTTTTAACATGATGTTGTACAAAATGCCCACTAAAGTATATTTACATCCGCCTTTTGTGTACAGCCGTTGAAATGAAGTGCGCGCGCATTTTCAAGATAGAAAAAACTGAGTATCAGTATAACAGATAATTTCTCCAACTGACACAAGTGGCTTGGAAAACAAAACAAAAATAAACATGAGTTCTTCAATCATTAGAATTAGTTTAAAAAAAAACATCAGTTCACCAACCAACATAAGTACTTTGTAAAAACATTACATCTTCAACCAAACCAAGTAACTTAAAAGATATCAATTCTTTAACCAATACTAGAAACTTAAAAATTTGTTATTCAACAGATACAAGTAGCTTTTACCGCTATTTAAATTTCCAATTTGTTTCTGAATGTTCGCGCAAAGCTACACAAAGGACATAGGTTGATCTTGGAACTC